GGTTGTATGGGAGTGGTGTTAGACTCCCTGGCATACATTATATCATGTGCTAGGTTGTGTGGGAGTGGTGTTAGACTCCCTGGCATACATTATATCATGTGCTAGGTTGTATGGGAGTGGTGTTCGGCTACCTGGCATACATTATATCATGTGCTAGGTTGTATGGGAGTGGTGTTCGGCTACCTGGCATACATTATATCATGTGCTAGGTTGTATGGGAGTGGTGTTAGACTACCTGGCATACACTATATCATGTGCTAGGTTGTATGGGAGTGGTGTTAGACTCCCTGGCATACATTATATCATGTGCTAGGTTGTATGGGAGTGGTGTTAGACTACCTGACATACATTATATCATGTGCTAGGTTGTGTGGGAGTGGTGTTAGACTCCCTGGCATACATTATATCATGTGCTAGGTTGTATGGGAGTGGTGTTAGACTACCTGGCATACATTATATCATGTGCTAGGTTGTATGGGAGTGGTGTTAGGCTACCTGGCATACATTATATCATGTGCTAGGTTGTATGGGAGTGGTGTTAGGCTACCTGGCATTCATTATATCATGTGCTAGGTTGTATGGGAGTGGTGTTAGACTACCTGGCATACATTATATCATGTGCTAGGTTGTGTGGGAGTGGTGTTAGACTCCCTGGCATACATTATATCATGTGCTAGGTTGTATGGGAGTGGTGTTAGACTACCTGGCATACATTATATCATGTGCTAGGTTGTATGGGAGTGGTGTTAGGCTACCTGGCATACATTATATCATGTGCTAGGTTGTATGGGAGTGGTGTTAGGCTATCTGGCATACATTATATCATGTGCTAGGTTGTATGGGAGTGGTGTTAGGCTACCTGGCATTCATTATATCATGTGCTAGGTTGTATGGGAGTGGTTTAGGCTACCTGGCATACATTATATCATGTGCTAGGTTGTATGGGAGTGGTGTTAGGCTACCTGGCATTCATTATATCATGTGCTAGGTTGTATGGGAGTGGTGTTAGGCTACCTGGCATACATTATATCATGTGCTAGGTTGTATGGGAGTGGTGTTAGGCTACTTGGCCTACATTATATAATCTGCTAGGTTGTATGGGAGTGGTGTTAGGCTACCTGGCATAGATTATGTCATGTGCTAGGTTGTGTGGGAGTGGTGTTAGGCTACCTGGCATAGATTATGTCATGTGCTAGGTTGTGTGGGGAGGTGATAGGCTATTTGACATAGATTAATTCGTCTGTATCTTATACAGGGTTTATAGATATTGTAACACTGAATTGATTGTATCAAGTTACCACATAAATCTGGTTAACTATCTGGTCAAATATCAATATGTTTGTTGCATTTTTTTAACAAGATGTTGATATTATCGTTGGTGATAGTTGTGGGGGGAGGGGGTGATTTTGGTGACGATAATGACGTGATAATGAGGATTTATGGGTAGTTTTAAAAACGGTATTTTTTTGTGGTAGTGGTGATGATGTTATTGTTCTTGATAGTGATGTTTTTGTTGTTGTGATTGTTGTTGTTTGTGGTGAGGTGGTGTTGTTGGTGGTGAAGATGTTGGCACATACACAAGTATCTAGTATTTTTAGCACCACACAAAGCTGCCCCATCCCATGCTCTACTGTGTCGGCGTCTCCCTCTCCCTCACCTTTGCTGATAATGTAAGGTCACCCTTACTTTTGCTAACAACGTATAATTATTATTATTATTATTATAATCACAACTAAGAGCTAAACCCACAAGGAATGTGCTAGTAACCTAGGATACCCTCCTCTGTCCCTCGCTGATGTAAGGTCAGCCTCACTGACAAAGTAATGTCAGCTTCCACCCTGCCTGATAACGTCATATCCTCTCCCTTGCTGATAATATAAGGTCGGTTCTACCACCCTCAGTGATATCTACCAGTAGCATCAAATAAACATCATGTCTCTTTCCGTGATAATTTCGTTAGGCCAGCAGCCCCAAACCTCTCATTAACCTTTTACGAAAATATTTGTTTTTGTTCCTTATCTCACATTGTCACTGCTGAAACGTTAGATCAGTCTAATCTTCATAATCCTTGTCAATAACGTTAGTTCGGTTCTATCCTGCAGGTAATATTTGTTTTCGAGTCCCCTTGCAATCCTTAGCCTTTCCCACCACTCTGCTTAGCAAGAAAGTTGCCTTTCCTAAGTCCTGAATATAGCATTAAACAAGGTCCATACCCTCCCTGTTCTTTGGTGATAGCATTAAACAAGGCTTGTACCCACCTGGTCCTTGATGATGGGTGACATGGATTTCACCTTCATATGTGACATGTAGATGTAACTGCCTTGTGCCGAAATTTTGCCATGTTCCACAAATAGAGACGTTTTTATTTTGTCTAGCTGTAATGACCTTCATAATTTTTACTTTCGTGTTGAGCGCTACATAACTAACTTTTTTTTGTAAGTGACAGATCAGCTGGGTGAGCTGTCTTGGTTTACACGTTATATAATTGAAATCAGGTTTCCAATTACTTATTTGTACAGATCCAGAATAATCATTATTACCTGCATTGCTATGTCGTTACATTTCAGTGCGAGTGTAGGTAAGTGAATCTTTTAATTACCAGACGGAGGATAATATTAGCTTTATTGTGCTGAATGACCCACACGGGTTTGCCACTTTAAGTGATTAATAATAATCATTATCAATCCACACTTATCTTTCTCTCTCCCTTATTTCCTTAAATATTTATTTATGCTTTGGTACAGTAGATCCGTCAATGCTTATATACAGAGACGGACCATGTCATCACACCCACACAGATGTTAACATCTATAACCAGAAACACTTTTTTACAGCAAAAACGAAAATGAACATAATTCCTTGCAAAGCTTACGATATGTAGTTTACATATAATAAAATATTAATTACAAATAAGGCCACTAGCATGCGTGTGTGTGTGTGTGTGTGTGTGTGTGTGTGTGTGTGTGTGTGTGTGTGTGTGTGTGTGTGTGTGTGTGTGTGTGTGTGTGTGTGTGTGTGTGTGTGTGTGTACTCACCTATTTGTGGTTGCAGGGGTCGAGTCCTAGCTCCTGGCCCCGCCTCTTCACCGGTTGCTACTAGGCCCTCTCTCTCCCCGCTCCATGAGCTTTATCAAACCTCGTCTTAAAACTGTGTATGGTTCCTGCCTCCACTACGTCATTTTCTAGGCTATTCCACTGCCTTACAACTCTATGATTGAAGAAATACTTCCTACTATCTCTCTGACTCATTTGTGTCTTCAACTTCCAATTGTGGCCTCTTGTTTCTGTGTCCCCTCCCTGGAACATCCTGTCCTTGTCCACCTTGTCTATTCCACGCAGTATTTTATATGTCGTTATCATGTCTCCCCTGACCCTCCTGTCCTCCAGTGTCGTCAGGCCGATTTCCCTTAATCTTTCTTCATAGGACATTCCCCTTAGCTCTGGAACTAACCTTGTTGCAAACCTTTGTACTTTCTCTAGTTTCTTGACGTGTGTGTGTGTGTGTGTGTTTGTGTGTGACTCAACAATCAATATTTGCACCAATAACTCATTACAGTTGTGACCGGGTGTGGAAGTGTGAATTGCTCATTACTCTATAATTTGTTCATGATTGTAGCCATATATAAACGTAAGTAACCATTCTACAGAATTCATTACCTTTGTAACTTGTGAGCTCATTACCTTTGTACCAAGTTCAGCTATCAAAACTTTGGGGGCCCAGTCCCTGGACCCATTATGTACCTCTGTAATCTGTAAATACCTTTGTAACTTGTCATGATTGTGACCAGACCTACCTGGAGTTCATTACCTTTGTAAATTGTGAGTTCATTAACTTTGTAAATTGTGAGTTCATTACCTCTGTAACTTGCTCAGCTATCAAAACTTTGGAGTCCAGTCCCTGGACCCATTATGTACCTCTGTAATCTTTTGACTACCGCCCACAGGATGGGTATGGGGTGCATAATAAACATATTAAACTAACTAGCATGCCTAGGCATTTCGGGCAAACTAATCATAATTCTAACTATTCTGACACAGATTATGGAGCAGTACATTTTAATATACTTTATTTCACACTGAAATAAAATTTAGCTCGTGAAGACGTTTCGTGTGTTAATGTAGACATGAATTAGGTCACAGAGAGAAAGAAAACAAAATTTAAGTAGTTATGCGTTATTCACAGTGGTTAAGTCAGGGTAATTTCTCCAGAATGGTTGGTAAAATATCACTGTGGATACGATACTTTGACATTTTTAAACATTTTTGAGTGAGTTACCTTTGAATTCATTATTTTTATGACATTCCAGTAATCTCTCAACTATCGCCCACAGGATGGGTGTGGTGTGCATAATAAAGATATTGAACAATTTTGGATGAGAGGAATGACGAGTCGAAAATGTATGTGTAGGCAACCATACAGCAAATATTATGTGTACTTCTACGAGCATATAATGAACATTTCTATAAAACGTTAATAGCGCAAGTGAAAAATGCAGATATGTACTCGTAATAAGAGGAAGACAGAATTTGCTATTTTTTTGAGAGAGAGAGAGATCAAAATTAAGCGTTAGTGTAGTCTGCAGTGACTATATAGTTAACAAGACGTCAGTGATAGTGTCCGGCGTCGGCGACAGCAGCGGCGTCGGTAGTAGTGGCGTCGTCGGTAATAGTGGCATCGTCGGTAGTAGTGGCGTCGTCGGTAGTAGTGGCGTTGTCGGTAGTAGTGGCGTCGTCGGTAGTAGTGGCGTCGTCGGTAGTAGTGGCGTCGTCGGTAGTAGTGGCGTCGTCGGTAGTAGTGGCGTCGTCGGTAGTAGTGGCGTCGTCGGTAGTAGTGGCGTCGTCGGCAGCAAGGGCGTCGTGTGGGTGAGTGGGCACCAGACCAAGTACAGTGTTGAGATGCGCCGAAGAGACTCGACAACGTGCCCAAACACCTTGTTTACCGAAATGTTACACATCCTTCATTTTATCACACATTTTTAGTTTGCAGCCAACAAATACATAACATGTCTTCCTTCGCATCGTAACGCAAGACGTACAGCTTCACTGAGTGTCGACACGGGGAAGGATACTAGCTAAACTGGAGGTGGGATAACTGAGAGTTATATGGATGAGTTGCAAGGTTTGCTCAGGCGACATCCACTAGCCACCTTGATATTGGCAACCTCCAGCATCACAATGTTCACCACAGTCACTACTAACTGTGTCACTATACACTCCTCGCACCATTATGTGCTCCTAGAACGAACACTTAGCGGGGTCGACGGTGCTATAGTGCCAACGTTGACAGTAGCAGCAAAAGTGCGTGAAGATATTTGTATGGGTGAAATATAAATATATATTTTTTTTTATCTGGTGGCTCTGGAGTGACACACAGAGCCACCTGAAGCAGTGACAGTGCCGTGGTAACTGGGTCATCCAAGCATCGTTACAACCTGGTAACAACACCAAGTGGTTAGATGTCATAACATCACGAAAAAAAAAACATTATTACAGGTGCTGATTGTGCTTTGTTAGTAGTAGTATTAAGCGTTATTATTTATTGTTAAAATTACCATATTATGTTATCGTCATGTTTCTACAGATAAAAATATTGGGTGGAGCTAACAATGTAAGTCGGATATCTTTCATGTATATACCCAGTCTGTTTATATATGTATATATGGTATTACAATGATTTTTGGTATTCTTTTCGAATAAAGAACAAATATTTCACCTATAGATTAAGATCAGATAATATGATTTTATTATTATTATTATTAAAGATTAGCCGGTATTCTCCCGGCCCGGGCCTTTTCCAAGTGGTGGCCCGGCCTTGGCTCCCTCTTTAGGGAGTATCTGAGACCTAGGTCTCCCATGGGAGGAGGCACAAGTACCTCCTCATCTTTGGGACCAACTGTCCCCAGGCCTAGCCACAAGCCAGGCCTCTCTGGTCTGCCATCCCCGCCCCAAAGGAGCAAATGGGAATGACAGTCTTATGAGCTAAAAGCTCGGACTCAGGCACCTACCCTACCCTAGAAGGGTTAGGCATGGTGTCGATGATATATGATTTTAAAAAAACATGGTTGCGTATTAGCTTATACTCCGGAATTTAAAAAAACAACTTATTTTTTTTATGCAAGTGAATTATTTGGAATAGCTGCAAATTAATCCTTTAATCAGAGCTTTCTAAACGATTTTATAATGTAATTATCATGTAATTTTATAATGTAATTAATGTAATTATCATTGTGGTGGTTGGTCGCTAGACAACCTCCAGAGTTCCTTCTCTAAGTTGACTATATCTCTAGCAATGTTCTATTGTCTAAAGTTTGTAAACTATTAATATATTGATGGAGCAATATTGCAATATCTTCGCAAACCCAACAAGAAAACTTATAGATTTGTTGCAGTTTAAAAACTGTAGTGTAAAGCACCCTTCTGGCAAGACAGTGATGGAGTGAATGATGGTGAAAGTTTTTCTTTTTCGGGCCACCCTGCCTTGGTGGGAATCAGCCAGTGTGATAAAAAAAAAAAAATACCTACATATACCAGCGTATTGTACCCAACGAATTATGCGATAACACTGTATTATACCCTCGGCCACACAGTACATTCCACCTGGTTTAATTTTATTATTGGCGTTTAAGTATACATAGAAATTTAGATATGTTTTGTTAAATTAGACCAACATAAGATAATCTAAAGTAACTCACACTCTTTTTAATTCTGCAGGACGTAGAAATTGCTGAGAAACTGGCACGGACATATTCAGTTATGATAAATAGTAAAAATGGTTGTAAATGATCATAATTTTTAAAGGGGTGGACCGGTAAGCCAGCGGAAGGCCTCGGTCAGATGACCAAAAGCTCCAAAGGTGGGTCATCATATGACTAAGACCCGGGTCAGGAAACATTTGTCCTGTTTCCTGACGAACCTTACCTAACCTAACCATATTCAGTTATTTTCCTACCATGCACAGTATATGAGAAGTGTTCTTGTTTCTCTCTCTCTCTCTCTCTCTCTCTCTCTCTCTCTCTCTCTCTCTCCCTTTATCCTCCTTATCTGTGATCCTCTGTTTCTCAACTCCGAAATTTCTTTACTTCTCGTTAAAAAAAAGACGTCATTGAAGACGCCCACAATTTGCCTTCTCTGGGAATAATTTACAAAATTTTAATATCACTTGCCGGCTAGATTTAAGCTTACATTTCGTCTGATACGGTGTTTGTCACGGCATTATGCCAGGGCTCTCACCCGGCATAATTCCGTGACAAACACTGTATACACTCTACAGTATTGTAATTGATGTATACTACTTCACTTTCTCCTGTATATTTCAATACACTGAACAAACTAACTTCACCCTTCCTGACACACACACACACAACACAAAAACAGTAAGTGTTCACTTTTACTCACATTAACGTCGTGGCCTCATCCAACCTCCCATAGTCATCATCATTATTTATTAATTATAATATTCTCAAGAAAGTATATACTCTCAAAGAGGGGAATGTATGAGAGTATAGTTTTACCAACGCTCTTATATGGGTGTGAAGCGTGGGTGATGAATGTTGCAGCGAGGAGAAGGCTGGAGGCAGTGGAGATGTCATGTCTGAGGGCAATGTGTGGTGTGAATATAATGCAGAGAATTCGTAGTTTGGAAGTTAGGAGGAGGTGCGGGATTACCAAAACTGTTGTCCAGAGGGCTGAGGAAGGGTTGTTGAGGTGGTTCGGACATGTAGAGAGAATGGAGCGAAACAGAATGACTTCAAGAGTGTATCAGTCTGTAGTGGAAGGAAGGCGGGGTAGGGGTCGGCCTAGGAAGGGTTGGAGGGAGGGGGTAAAGGAGGTTTTGTGTGCGAGGGGCTTGGACTTCCAGCAGGCATGCGTGAGCGTGTTTGATAGGAGTGAATGGAGACAAATGGTTTTTAATACTTGACGTGCTGTTGGAGTGTGAGCAAAGTAACATTTATGAAGGGATTCAGGGAAACCGGCAGGCCGGACTTGAGTCCTGGAGATGGGAAGTACAGTGCCTGCACTCTGAAGGAGGGGTGTTAATGTTGCAGTTTAAAAACTGTAGTGTAAAGCACCCTTCTGGCAAGACAGTGATGGAGTGAATGATGGTGAAAGTTTTTCTTTTTCGGGCCACCCTGCCTTGGTGGGAATCGGCCGGTGTGATAATAATAATAAAATTCTCAAGAAAGCGCAAAACCCGTTCGAGTCACATACTGCCATTTCTAAGTATGTAGATTCTTGGCTTTCCCAAAACACTATCAAATGTTCTAATTTTGAGAACACGCCTAGCTTCACCTGACCTTTGCCGTCTCCACGTAAATCAGTACCTTGACCTTACTTGTGGCTTTCACCGTGTGCCTTCTCACTCTCCACTGGATTACTGTCCAGGACGGAGCAGAACGTTCAGTTTTATTACAGATTTGTGGGGTTATTGTGATTTATTCCAGTCACGGTAATGTGACTTAGTTAAGAGGTGTGTGTGTGTATGTGTGTGTGTTCTTCTAGGTGTGTTTACAAGGGTTGTATCATAGCTACTGGCCCTGCATCATAACTTTCTTCTTCCCTGTTTGACTGACGCTGTGGCTACTAGAGCACGGGCCATACCTACTCTTAAAACTGTGTAGTGCTAACCACCTCTTCACCTAGTAGTGTTTCACTTACAAACCCCGTTCATATTTCACAACACTTCATGATGATCTCATTATTATGGGGAAACGTTAAACCCGTAGGGATCATACAACGCCTGGTGAACTGATGAGTGTGATGGTGTGTGTAATGGCGAGTACCTATCTATATGTGGTTGCAGGGGTCGGATCTTAGCTCTTGGCCCTACCTCATATATATATATATATATATATATATATATATATATATATATATATATATATATATATATATATATATATATATATATATATATATATATATTTATATACATATATATGTATGTATGTGTGCGTGTGTGTATTTATGTGTATATTAATATAATGAAGGTATAGTCGTGTATACCAGTCCTCGCGGTAGATTAGAACCTGATCAATCAGGCTGTTACTGCTAGCCGCACGTAAACCGACGTACGAACCACAGTCCGGTTGGTCAGATACTGTCTTTAGGTGCCTGGCCAACGCCTTCTTGAAGACAGCCAGGGGTCTATTGATGACACTTATTATGTTGTCACTTAGTGTACTCGTGCCACCCCTGCTTTTCATTGGGGGGATGTTGTATCTCCTGCCAGGTCTTTTGTTTTTGTAGGGAGTGATTTTCGTGTGCAGATTTGGGACTAGTCCCTCTAGGAGTTTCCAAGTAAATTATTATTAATATAAAAAAGAAGCGCTAAACCTACAAGGGTCATACAGCGCAATTTCCAAGCGTATATTATCATATATCTCGCCTGCGTTCCAAAGAATGCAAATCAAGGGACTTCAACAGTTCCCAGTAATTTAGGTGCTTTATCGTACTTATATATGACGTGAAAGTTCTCTGTATATTCTCCCGGTCTTCTATTTCGCCTGCCTGGAAAGGAGCCGTTAGTGTACAGCAGTATTCCAGCCTAGAGAGAACAAATGCGTAATGGTGTATACTTATCTGTTTTCAAGGTCGATTCATAACTTCTGGCCTGTCTCTGTACCACTACTGACCTACTCTTGGAACTACGTATGATATTTGCGTTCACCTCTTCGTCTAAACTAGAGCATTCCACTTATTATATGAAGCCTGAAAAAGTATTTCCTAACATTCTTATATCTCATCTATGCCTTTAACTGTCATCTGTACTCCTTGTTTCCCTCTCTTCTCATCTCAGACTTTTATCCACTCCATCTAGTGTAAGCTATGGGAGGGAATCGAGTCTGATCCAAGGGGAGGACGCTAATAATTCTTTGTATCAAGGATTAATATTATTATTATTACAATCATAACTCAGCGCTAAACCTAGCGGGATCAAGAGCACTTCTCCAGCACCAAGACATCCTGGAGATTTTATCTTATAAAGCACACTGTGTCCTCTTAGTAATCTTGCTCTGTAATTTATTCAGAAGATGAGCTCACCGTAAAATATTTCTGTCTCATGAAATTGGTCTACATCAACTTTTTGGCTCACTGTTGTCAGCCTTCCTCCTGGCTCACTGCCGTCAGCATATCTCCTGGCTCACTGCTGTCAGCGTCCTTCTTTGCTCACTGCTGTCAGTATCCCTCCTGGCTCACTACTGTCAGTATCTTCCCCTGGCTCTCTGCTGTCAGCATCTCTCCTGGCTAACTGTTGTCAGCGTCCTGGTTCACTGCTGTCAGCATCCCTCACTGCTGCAGCTGTCAGCATTCTTCACCTTTCTTTTAGCATATTTTTTTCCTTACCCTTTCGACTTAAAATTTATCATTGATGTTTTTACCTGAGTGAAGGAGAGGTGACTAACTGGAGATTATGGTGGAGAGGAGACTAACTGGAGATTATGGTGGAGAGGTGACTAACTGGAGATTATGGTGGAGAGGTGACTAACTGGAGATTATGGTGGGAAGGTGAATGTAATTGGAAGATGATGTAGCTTGGCTATATAGCCATACTGTATACCTCCTAGTGGGCTATATAGCATGATACTATATACGCCACTGTGACCATCTGTGGTAATCACCATAACCAATATTTTATTTACTTTCTCTTTAGGAATGACAAATAGAAAAAAAAATCCATGGATATTAAAGTACGATGAGCTCAGTGTGACTGGCGACACCAAAGAGACCTCGATATGAGCAGGGACTAACCTAGCCAAGTTGATACCACAGACCTTCACTAGGACACAACATACTGTGTTAACTGATTCATCCCGCTGGGGGGGAAAAAAAAAAACGAGGAGTAACTTCCGTGAAAGTCAGTGCATAAGTACTCTCCATCAGGGTGGTCGCGTCCTCGTGATGGATGTAGTGGAGAATACTCTGGTTACCACCTCGCATATCGCAGGTGAGTCCCTCCTGCCACCTTGCGTCCAGGTAAGCAACGTCCTTCTATTTATGAAGGGATAGATTTATTTATGTCTTTACACTAAGAGATCATTTCAGCATTCAGAATTTTTTGGATAGATTTATTTATGTCTTTACACTAAGAGATCATTTCAGCATTCAGAATTTTTTGTGTCAAGGTTGAAGTGAAACAATTACTTGTAATGTGTATACTGTATACTATCATTTAATAATCATAATAAATTATTATAATAAAAAAGAAGCGCTAAACCTACAAGGGTCATACAGCGCAATCATAATAAAGAGGAACCAAAAATATACTGTGAGTTTTATGTTAATATACAGTTACCAAACACATGATGTCGAGGGTAAAATTATAATTATAATAAAATTATTATGTAAATTATTATTTGAGATTACCTGCATGAGGTTTACAGGGTATTATCTGAATTATTACGTGCAAGTAATTTGGGTGAGGTAAGTGGGACTTAGTCACAGTATGTCGCAGAACTGTAACTCCCTCGATCCCCACTACATCACCACACTCACAAAAAGCTAGATCTGACATTAAATTAATAATAACAAATAACAAAAAAAGGCACAATACCGTGACTGGAGCGATACACAAATAACCCGCACACAGAAGACAAGGAGTTTACGACGACGTTTCGGTCCGACTTGGACCATTTACAAAGTCACACTAATGTTTAATTACAATATTAAACATTAATACCAATAATGGTTAATTATGAAATAATGTGGACTGTATATGATTGGGCTTGCTGGGTACACAGAATATAATTATTGTACATGAATTATAATGATGTTATTAAAAAGAAATGCGTATTACCACTTACCATTTAATTACTGTAGTTGGATCACACCACAATGCTTACCTAACATATAGAAACGTACGCTGGCCAGCGAGAACTCTAAATGAAAAGCCAATGGCGTACTTCCCTGTGTGAGTGATGGCGTAGTCTCCTTATTTTTTACCATCCACACGTAATTCTGGAAGTCCTGCAAATTTCTTGTCCAAGTTCTTCAGCGGGAATGGGTCAGCAATTTCTAAATTACGAAGCTCGATACACACCAGTTGAACTTCAATGATGCCTGATTAAATTACACAACTAACAGACCAGTGTTCACACATTCAATTCACTATGGTGGGGCCCCTGCGACATCAGTCCCTGGTTGTTACACATTACCCCCGCACTTGAAATTTCTTGAAAGGTCAAATCAGCATCACATTTTAATACACAATTATATTATTCAAATTTACACATGCTGAATTTAGGAAAATTCAAAATTTTCCACAAATTATATTCTACCCTGGAACTGGAAGGCAAGTACAGGGAAGAATGGTGCTATTGAAGGCCCTTCACAACGCAAATGCAGTGCTTTTTCAGGAGCCATGCAATGAGGAAAATGAAATGCGGGTGAACCTAAGCACATGTCCAAGAGAGGCGGAAGTAAGCCAGAAGTCCACCATGTGGTTAATAGTGCCACATGTCAGGGAAAGTAATTTAACAATAGATGAAAGCAACAGATAAGTCTCTAAGCATCGCAAACATGGTAGTTAACAGTAAAATATATTATAATAATTAAGCGCTAAGCCCATAAGGGTCATACAGTTCTGATGGTAAAATATATTATAATCAAAAGGAAGTGCTAAACCTACCAGGGTCTTACAGCGCTGCAGGGTAGGAATTGATGCAGGATTTAAGAATAAAGAAAGGTGGAGATGGCAATAAAGGTAAAGTTGGGAGGGGCTGCGAGGAGTGATAAAGGAAGGATTATCAAAGTCTGCATAACAAATCAGTTGGTATCAAAAAGTCGAAGAGGAAGTCATTGTCGAAGGTGGGGCCGTCAGCGAGGAGGGCAAATAAAGTAAGGGTGTTAGAGCTGTGACGACGTCGGAGAAAAATTCTGTGGCTGTCTCCCGCCGAGACTGGGTAACTGACAAAAACTTCGGCCATCACACTGCCTTACCCGAGGCATGCCAACATTATTCAATTCAATTCAGTTCAAGTTTATTCTCTATAAGGGTTACAATGTGGGGTTTACAGGTTTTGGGTATTGTGTGGTTTACATGTTATAAAATACTAATTACAGAGGGGGCCACTAAGACACCTAGCATGGCTAGGCATTTCGAGCAGACTTAGATTAATTCTTAACATTAAATCCTTGCAGATTATGGTATTAAAGCTATGTGACTACATCATAATTTGTGAGTTTAGCAATGTGAATGCTTTTGTTTTGGCACAATAAATGGAGTATCATAGGCAAACTTATGACTAGTTAGGATTTATCATTTTAAGATTAAGATGAGTATTTCTGGGTTTTATAGTCAGTGGGTGAGTGAGTGTAATTTTGAACCACCAGGTGGTTATCATGTAGTTAGTTGTCGGGGTGGATCAGGGAGATAAGATGTTTTCTAACTGTAGTTTTGAAAGTGATGAATGTGTCTGCAGTTCTAGAGTTTTCAGGTAGGGTGTTCCAGATTTTAGGTCCTTTGAAATACATTGAATTTTTGCAATATCCCCATCCCTCCTTCAAGCTTCATTTTCCAAGATTATTATATTTAAAGCAGTACAAATTATATTCATGGTCGGGAATGGCTAAACCCTTAGGGTCATTCAGCGCATGAGGGAATGAAAGGCATTCAGACTCGGTTCAAGGAATCAAGCAGTACATGTTTAAATTTTCAGTTTAATAATCAAATTCGTTAGTGCTCCACAAGAGTATATACCTGGAGAGTTCCGAGGATCAACTCCCCCATGGCCCAGTCCATGACCAGGCCCCGCGGTTGATCAGGGCATGATCATCCAGGCTGTTTAAGGCTGGCTGCACGCAAACCAACATATGAACCACAGCCCTACCAGTCAGGAACTACCTCTCCAGCTCCATCTTTATTATTGTACTCAAAAAGAGCGCTAAACCGACAACCCCCTTTTTATTATATATTATTATACAGCGCTTTTGGGGGGGGGGGGTGGAAGGTATTCGGGGAACTGGAACATAGATCCAATTCCCTAGATCAAGAACCCCTCACTAGCGTCGAGGAACCTCCCTTGAGGGGATAATAATAATAGGGGATCGCTAAACCCGTAGGTATTATACAACGCCTGTGGGAGGAAGGGTTGGAAGGTATTCAGGCTTAATTCATGGAACTGGAGCAGATCCAATTCCCTATTATTATTATAATCAAGGGGAAGCGCTAAACCCATAGGATTATATAGCACCTGTGGATGGATGTGGAAGGCATTCAGGTTTAATTCGGGGAACTAGAGCACAGATCCAATTCCCTAGATCAAGAGCCCCTCACCAATGTCAAGGAACCTCCTTTGAGGGGAGCTCCCTCTTGAAAACAGCCAGGGGCCTATTGGTAATCCCCCCTTATTTATGCTGGGAGGCAGTTGAACAGTTTTGGGCCCCTGACACTTACTGTATTGTCTCAAAGTACTCATGGTACCCCTGCTTTTTACTGGGGAATGTTGCACCGTCTGTCGAGTCTTTTGCTTTCGTAGGGAGTGATTTCTGTGCGAAGATTTGGGAATAATCCCTCTTAAGATTTTCCAAGTGTATATGTCTTCTCATGCATCTTTCTCGCCTGCTTTCCAAGGAGTACAGGTCAAGGGACTTAACCGTTCCCAGTAATTTAGGTGCCTTGTTGTACTTATATGTGCAGTGAATTATTATAATCATAAGTAAGCACTAAACTCATACGTACAGTGAAAGTTCTCTGTATATTCTCCAGGTCTGTAATTTCACCTGTCTTGAAAGGAATATGTTCAAAATGTTTCAAAAACAAAACTGGCAGATTGGAGCCTATAAAGGCCACCAAAAATGTCAATCTTCCTCCGAACAGATCACACCAGCATTGTTTGACGATCTAATATGGCATTTTCTGCTGCTTTTATTACATTCATGGGGAGAGTGCTAAACTGTGTGGTCCATAAAATGACTAGGGCAATGTTAGGCAATCAGGTTTGATCCAAGGGAGTATTAGTCCAATTTCCTGGATCAAGAGCCCCTCACTGGCAGGTAATTTTCATCTATTAGCCGAAAACCAATATTGCATTTTTTTAAATTAACAAATTAAAACCTACACACTCCAAAGTCAATCCAAAACTTTCAATAGGCATTCCCCAGTTATTGTAAGACAACCAACATTTCCAATTTTTTAATCATTAGTAAATTAGCAAATATATATCTACATATCCTGAACCTATAGTGGATCATTCCCTAGATTATATCATTATCATGGAGAAGCGCTAAACCCGTAGGATTATACAGCACCTGTGGGGGGATAGAAGGTATTCAGGCTTAATTCAGGGAACTGATTATTATAATCAAGGTTAGGTTAGGTTAGGTAAGGTTCGTCAGGAAACAGGACAAATGTTTCCTGACGCGGGTCTTAGTCAGATGATGACCCGCCTTTGGAGCTTTTGGTCATCTGACCGAGGCCTTCCGCTGGCTTACCGGTCCACCCCTTTAAAAATTATGGTCATTTATAACCAGTCTTTATAATCAAGGGTGAGCGCTAAACCTATAGGATTATGCAGTGCCTGGGGGGAAGAATGTGGAAGGTATTCAGGCTTAATTCAGGGAACCGGAGGACAGATCCAATTCCCAAGCTCAAGAGCCCCTTACCAGCATCAAGGAACCTTCCTTGAGGGGTAGATTATATCAGCCTTTGACATTTGAAGTTGTTCAGTAGAGCAGTGGGGGCGCACTGACATCTTAAACCCTAGTGGATCTCTCTCAGCCCAGAAGTTCTCATTAGGATCAAGTCTGGGGAATTTCCTGGTTAGTCATCGAAGATGGACACCTCATAGTCATGAAGTCACTTTACAACAGATTTCACACTGCATGAAAGATTCAAGCAAATGCTTGCAGAGCAATTCTTGGAATGTTATTACAGTCAGCCTTTCCCTGGACATACTTTTGATGTGGGCACATCAACACCATCCCAAGAAACAAACACAACCAGATCAT